TCCCACCTCTGTCCCTCCTAAACAGGTTATACCCCTCTATATTAGTAGCCCAGTCATGCGTGCTGTCCAGCCAGGTTTCCGCTATACCCACTATGTCGAAAGTCCTCTTCAATTAACCTAATTTCAAGCTCCTTTGTCAACAGTTAGACAAATTGTCTATAAATGGAGACCGTTTAGTACTGTGGCTCCTCTTAGTACAAGTGGGTGCCCAGCCAAGATCACTGCCAAGGCACAACGCAGAATCCTCAATGAGGTAAAGAAGGAGCAATAAGTAACAGATAAAAGTCTTGAAGACATCACTGGAACTGGCAAACATCCCTGTTCATGAGTATACCATACGTAAGTCTTTAAACAGACTGGTTGTCCATGGCAGAACTTCACGGAGGAATCCGTTGCTCTCCAAAAAAAATTGCTGTGCACTTGAAGTTTTCATAAGAGCACAACATTATTGGGAAAATGTTTTGTGGAATGATGAAAAAAAAGCTGAATTTTTGGGATGAATACTCAGCATTATATATGGTGCAAAAGGGCACATCAAAACATCATCCCAACAGTAAAGAATGGTGAAGGAAACATCATGATTTAGGCTTGCTTTGGTGCCTCAGGGCCTGGACCACTTGCCATCATCACGGTGAAAATGAGTTTCCACGTTTTCCAAAATATCCTACAGGATAATGTCAGGGTGGCTGTCTGCTAGCTGAAGCTTAGCAGAAGTTGGGTGATGCAGCATGACAGTGACCCTAAGCATTGAAGTAAATCCACAACAGACTGGCTTCAGAAAAAGAAAATGCACCTTTTGAAGTGGCTCAGTCAGAGCCCTGACCTTAAACCCATTGAGATGCTGTGGAATGACATCAAGGGAGCCGTTTACAACAGGCAGCCTACAAATGTGTCTGAGATGAAGCAGTTTTGAGTATGGCCAAAAATTTCTCCTGAACATTTTGCAGGTCTGTGCCAGAGCTACCGAAAGCTCTTGCTTGAAGTCATTGCTGCCAAAGGAAGTGTGACCAGCTGTTAACTCAAAGGGTTCACTTTTTCCTCCAGCACTGTGAATGTTTAAAGGGTGTGTTCAATAAAGACATGAGAAGTTAGAATTGTTTGTGTTATCGGTTTAAGCACATTAAAGGGAGTTTATCAAAACTGGAGCAGACAATCTGGAGCAGATGTGCATGGCAGCCAATCAGCTACTCTTTCATTTTCAAATCTTAACAAACTGAAGATAGAGATGATTGGTTACCATGCACAGTTGCTCCAGATTCTGTCTGCTCCAGTTTTGATAAATTCCCCTCATTGTGTTTGTCTATTGTTGTGATTTGCTGTAGAGGAGGATCAGATCACATTTTATGGCAAGTTACTGCATAAAATGTGTTAATTGCAAGGGGTTCACATACTATTTCTTGCAACTATACATCAACACAGGTTAGTCATTGTTTTAAATTATGCTAGTGCACATCTTCATGCATTGATAAGAGTTGTCCATATTTAAAGCATCAATGCATTGAAGTGCCTATTAATGACAACAGCAAGACATAAAAATACATGATTAACACAAAAAAGCTCATGAGAACACAAATGGGAACAGTTTATTGGAATATGGCTATTTATATTTAACTATTCTTCTTGTCAAAGCAGCGAACTAAAGCAAAACAAAAAAATATGCATAGTGAGGTGGAACTAATAATCAACAAGTAGCTAAATAACTCAAAATATTAGTCAAAATACGCAAAAGATTTGTATGTGGTGCAGTCTTTTAGCCCTCATTTTAAAAATCTTGGTTTCTTCTTTTCCTTTTTTTCCCCTTCAGATTGTGTGAGGTGCTTAATCTTGATCCACGGCATGTTCTGATTGCAGAAGTAATCTTCACAAATATTGGAGGAGCTGCTACGGCTGTTGGGGATCCACCTAATGTTATAATTGTTTCCAATCAAGAGCTGAGAAAAGTGGTAAGTAGCGATTCAATTCTTACAGAAAAACACACAAGAGGCAGCACAGCAGCTGAAAAGTTCTGAAGTTTAGCAGTAGAATTTATGCTCGACAAACTATTAAAATGGAATTAAATGTACAGGCTTATTTATTAAGGTAGTGCAGTGAACCATGATGATGTGCAAAGTTCTGTAGCCCACAGCAACTGATCAGCTTTTAACTTTCCACATTTGAGGGCAGTCTGAACAATAAAAGATTATTGCTAATTATTTACTAATAAATAATCCCAACAAGCTGACATCACATAATATAGTAAATTAAAGGGTTTCTAAACCCTCCATTTTTTTTGCATATATCTACTGCTGGCAAGCAGTAGATATATGCAAAAAGTAAAAAAAAAACGATTTAAAAGCGGTTTAAACTTACCCCTGTCTTCGTCGCGCGCTCCGATGCACATCTTTGGGCGGGCGCATGCGCAGTTCGGCTTTTCGGCATGGAGACGAGGAGAGTAGTTAAGTCTATGGACGCGTGCACCCACATGCAGACACCGTGGGACAGGAAGTGCCAGCAATGACGGAGGAGTCAGCACTGGATTGGAGACCCGCAGCAGCGCTGGAGAGAAGGCTGAAAAGGACAGGAAAGAAGAGGAAGATCGGATTAAGAGGCATCATTTAAGGTAAGTGCTTTCATTAAAATTAGGGGGAGGGGAAAAAAATTATCCTTTAGTCTCACTTTAAGTCTTAATGTTGTCAATCAGCAACAGAAACATTAATTCTTCAGTCCTGGAATTGTGATGTATCGTAAAGTGCTTCCTTTGTAAGTGAACAGCCTGACCAAAATGTACTAAACGTTTTGAAATTACTGCTTGTAACAAGATTAATATAGCTTTTAAAGTGATCATGCAAGGTACCTAAGGGTAGATGTGGCACCTTTTTGTGTCTATAATCATTTTACAGGTCACAGTTTAACTTCCATTAGTAACCTTTAAGACTGTCTACAGTAGAGTGGCGTAACCAGAGTTCTGG